GTAAGAAAGGACTCTCAGTCCTCGGCATGAAACAGAACTCAAGGGGATAAAGAAAGCAAAATGCAGAGGGCTCCTCTGCACCACTTGTGAAAACTCAGGATTGAATAAGATCTGAAGTGAGACTTCAGAGACCGCACCAGAGCAGTAAATCCAGTTCTTCCAGAGATTTCCACAAATGCCTCCCATTCACACTTGCTAACACAGGCTTGCAGGCGAAAGGGCAAGATTTTGAATACTGCAACATTATAATATTCTAGGTCAGTTCAACTGGTATGTAACATACCGAATAAGCCCCATGATCAACACAGTTGTGAATCCAGGACTAGCACCTAAACCAACCAGCATTCCTAATGACCTGCCAAGGGCCCTGTGCGCACAGAATCGTCAAATCGATTTTAAAAGGTTCATTTCAAAACAGAATCCAAGGAGTCTGGCGCTTAGGTCCTTAGCCCAGCACTGCCGGAACAATGGGAACCAGGCACCAGCACTCAAACAAAGAGTTGTCCTGTAGCCTGTCCCCTGCCCGTCTCACACTCGCACTCTCTCCGGTACACAAGGTGACATATTTTGACAACTTTGCTCTCAGCAAAGCACTGCAGCCCCTCACACGGTTCAATTTGCAGGAAGATAAAAGCACTTGAGCAAGCCAGGCAAAAGGCAAGTCTATCAGTGAGTTTGATTTTGCGGACTTTCCATATTCCTTTTCCTGTCTTCCTCCAGTCACTCTTCCTTCTTGCTGGAACCTGCTCTGCATTTCATTTAATCCACACACTTTCCTTCCTGTCCCAGGTACATCCCTTCTGGCTCTGAACCTCCAGCAACTGCATCACTCATGTATACATATCTCAGCAGCCCCATGCATCACAGCGTGGAAAAGAAACCGCTACTGCACTGCTGCTCGGCCCCTTTCGCTTGAGAGAAAGCCCGAGAGTGTCATTCAAAAACCCAGGGTAGGCTGAACTATGGGGGGAGACAAAGGTTCTGAGAAGCGAAAGCTGTTTTGAAAAGGCAAAGGTGTGTTTAGTAGGACACTTGATCCCATCTATTCTCGCCTTAGCCCCGTTTGAGGAAGATTCTTCTTCTCCAGGGCAGCCCAGAGGAGGGGCAAGTGGGGCAGGCCCCACAGGGCCCCCCACGAGAATATAGTATTCTATAATATTGCAACTTTTTTTTATGGAAGGGGCCCCCAAAACTGCTTTGCCCCAGGCCCCCTGAATCCTCTGGGTGGCCCTGTTCTTCTCAGCCCATACAGATTTTAGTAAAACCGAAGCCATGGTTAAAGTTAATTTATTTCCCCCCATTCACGTTGTTTGTTCACTCTTGGCGTTGCCTAGCCGCACACCACAACTGAACTGCCCTCTCTCCGCTTTGGCCCTAAGCACTTTCAAACCCAACACGTCGGCTCCAGCGCGCATTGGCCCGAACGGGCACAGCACCAGACGGGACATTTTCAGTGCCAAAGCCGGCCCAGTCCCACCCACTCCTGACGGCCGCGGAAGTTTAGGCAGAACTTCATGCCTGTCGGATCGGCTACTCCCGGGACAGAGGCTCTCCCGATCCCCTCACTGGCTTACACCTGATGTGCTGGGACACTCATTGCCGCCGAACTTCCCCGCCAGTGGCTCGGTTACAGCCGAACACGGCGTGGGCAGGCTTCGCACGCCCCGGTAACCGCGGCTGGGGTGGGTGTGACAGGCGGGCGAGGCACGCGCAGGGCAGCCGCCGCTCCTGTGCCAGGGGACGGACAGATCCTTGCAGCCGAGCGCTCTGGCAGCTACGGTACAAAGCGCCAGGCTACGAATATCCCCCTGACTGGCGCGTTTCTGGGGGAGCCGGGAGGGGGAGCGGACACTAGGCCGAGCTTTGCCCTCGCTCACCCGGGAGGATGTGATCGGGCCTCGGACGCGGCTGCTGCCCCGGGAATAGTGATTTCACTCACCCTTCGGTTTTGCGGCGCGCACCCCGGGCCAAGCCAGACACCGGCCGGGACAAAGCTACCAGCTCCACGCCAGGGGCTCCGAGTCCCTCCCCACCGAGCCGGCGCGGCGGGCAGAGCGGGGTCCGGGGCGGCCAGAGCAGGCTGCTACCGCCGGTCCGCGGCGCGTCGCGCCAGCCTGGGCTCAGCTCGGCACCGCTGGAGCCGAGAGCCCCAAGCGACACGGGCCTGACTGCGAGACGGCGCCCGGCGGAGCTTCCTCCTCTTGCCCCCAGAGATCAGCGTGTCCGCAGGGCACAGCCCGCGCCCCCCGCCTGGGCCGCCGAGCCCCCAGCAGCCCGGCAAGAGGCGCTGCTCCCCGCCTGCCCCACGCTCAGGGCTCCGCACAGCGCCCGCCGCCGGGATCGGCCCCGCGGTGCCCGGGGCAGCTCGCCAAGGGAGACCATCGCAGTGGAGCGCCGGAGCTCCCCGGCCAGCCCCTACACGCGGCGCTGCGGCGGCCACCAGCCCGGCTCCCGCGGGCTTTGGCTTGCAGCGAGCCCGGAGCAGCCGCCGTGCGGGCGAGTCCGCATCTCCCTGCCCGCCGCGCTGCTGAGCCCGGTCAGTCCTCGAGGAGCGCCGGGCTTGCCGCTGCACTCCGCCTGCCCGGGCTTCGGCCGCAGCGATTATCCTCGGCTCCCGGCCCAGCTCTGGGCAGCCTCGCCCGCTGCTGGGGCTGGTCCGGGCAGCACCCGGTCCCCTTCCCTCCGGTGGGTGAGCGGGGTTCCCGGGGGCAGCGGTGCCAGCCCCGGGGCGCGTGTGACTAGGGCAGGCGAGCGGAGCCGCGGGGAGCCGCGACGCGCCAGCCTGGGGCTGCCCAGTCTGCAGCGAGCCGCGGCTGAGCCGCCCGGGGAGAACAGCGGGGTCGGCCCAGTTCCTGTCCGGTCCCCGGGCTCTCCCCTCCCGGACCGACCCCTTGGGGGCCGCCGGCGCAGGAGCTCCGGGTCCGCAGCCCATCGCAGTGGGGTAATACTGGGAGCGCAGCGCGGCGGGGCTGCCCCGAAACCCTCCCCTCAGCCCGTTCCCGCAACCCGCACAAACTCCGCACCCCCGGGCCCAGAGCTGCGGCTCCGGGCAGCCCATCCTCCGCTGCCCGGGTTCCCAGGCCAGGGTTCGGAGCTGCGCCTCCCGCAGCCTGCTCTCCGCATGCCCAGCCGGCCCCCATCACCGCCGCTCCGCCAGGCAGTGCCCCGCCGCTACCCCCCAGCCTGGCCCGCGAAGGGAGCCGGGCCCCACGGCTTAGTCTGCCCAGCTGCCGGCAGCGAAACCCGGCCCGGAGCTTCCTGCAGCCACGGGGAGGGAGTCAAGTGCAGAAACAGCCGGTCCTGCCCTATGCCCCTCAGCCAGCGACCGCTCCAGCCCCGCGCCTCACCCGCCCCGCACCCCCTGCCCTTCCAGCCCCCTCCGACCCCGCACCTCCTGCCCTCCATCGACCCCGCACCCCCAGTCCTCTCCGACCCCGCACCCCCTGCCCCTTCATTCCCCTCCGACCCCGCACCCCTGGGCCCCTGCTCTCCACCGCTCACCGACCCGCACCCCCTGCCCTTCCCGCACCACCTGCTCCTCCAGCCCCCTCCAATCCCGCACCCCCTGCACTCCACCGCTCACCGACCCAGCACCCCCTGCCCCTCCAACCCCCTCTGACCCCGCATCCCCTGTCCTCCACCGACCCCGCATCCCCTGCCTCTCCAACCCCCTCTGACCCCGCATCCCCTGTCCTCCACCGACCCCGCATCCCCTGCCTCTCCAACCCCCTCTG